TTATGAAGTTAAGGGGGACTTCTGAATTAATTCAGTTTTGAAATTGGTAAAATTGGTAAAGCATGTATTAGTACCTATAGGAAACCCTTAAATATCCATTCAGGTGAATTTCTAATTATATGAATCTGAATAAATATGCCCCAGAAATTCATGTAAATTATTTCAGAGGTATTTATTAGATAATTGTGGCTCACCTTTAGATTGTTAATGATGCATGTTTAAAGAAATACGGCAAAAAGTAATATTAAGAATATATTTGTGAGATTGTTTCAATGATTTAGTCTGTTAAATTCATCATTATTACAGTTATCATAGTTCTTTCAATTTTTATTTTACTCTAACCTAAATTTTGTGATTATATTATAACTAATGACTAATATACTCTACTTTTAAAAGTTGAATGAAAGGGAAGGAAGTGAGGTAGTGCATATGCTATTTTTAAACCACATAGATATGCAGGTATTATGTTACGGTGATAATAGGTTGAGAATAATGAAGTACTTATTACAAAATGTTTTTATTCATGCATATATTGGGGAAGGAGGAGAATAAGTGAATATGTGTGTATATAGCGATAGCAAAGCGGGTAGGGCATTTGCCTTGCAAGCGGCCAACATGGCCGACCTGAGTTCGATTCCTCCGCCTCTCTCGGAGAGCCCGGCAAGCTACCGAGAGTATTTCGCCCGCACGACAAAGCCTGGCAAGCTCCCTGTGACGTATTCGACATGCCAAACACAGTAACAGTTGTCACAATGGAGACGTTACTGGGCCCGCTCGAGCAAATCGATGAACAATGGGAGGACAGTGACATATATATTTATATATATGTATTTGCGTATATATATGTATATATTCTGTTCACAAGGAATTTTGAGAGGTAAAGAAATTGGGCTATAATTAGAGGGAGTGATTCTGAGGCCAAACATGGTTTGGAAATAATTTTTTCATAAAAAAATTTAAATACGTATTAAAGAGTAGTATACCCAGCATTTTTCTGCAACTATTACAAAAAAAACCTGGTAAAAAAGATATGTCAAGTTATTATTATTAATATATGTGAAGTTTGTAAATTGGTGACATACATTGTCAAATATCAATATGTTTGTGCACTACTAAATCATGTAACAATGACCCCATACCAAATTTACAGTTTTCAAGTGCAGATATGATTATATAAAATTAATCACTTGACAAAAAGCAATTATTACTTTGTATAATAGTATATCAGTTTCCTTGGGAAAAAAGCAAACTTCCTTTTTCACCCTATATCTGGTACTATAACATCAAAAGCCTATTTTATTTGCTCATTTAGCTTTTGCGGCAAAAGTATATTGAAATATATTCCAGGGGGCATTTGCCTTACACGCAGCCAACATGTCCAACCCGGGTTTGATTCCTTCGCCCCTCTTGGAGAGCCCAGCAAGCTACCGAGAGTATCTCGCCAGCACAGCAAAGCCTGGCAAACTCCCTGTAACATATTCAATATGCCAAAAACAGTAACAACAAGTCTCACAATTTGTTGTGAGACATTACTGGGCCCGCTTGAGCAAATCCATGAACAACGTGAGGACAGTGCTACAGTAGTTATGTATACTTGAATCTTCATCTTAAAAGAACTAAAGAGGGCTGAAGAATAGTACAAAGGGTAGGGTTTTTGCCTTGAACACTGCCATCATGTTATGGTTCCCTGGTACCTTGTTTGGTGCCCTAAGTCATGCCAGGGATGATCCCTGAACACAGAGCCATGAGTATGCCCTCTGTACCACCAGGCCTGGCCCAAGCCTCCCACCCCAATAAAATAAATATTTAAAAATAAGAAAAATGACACTTACATCACTTGTTGCCATAGGTGCCATTTGATGTAGTCACTGTTTTATTGTTTTTCATAAACTCTAGAGTGCTATATGTTTGATCAGGCTTAGCTTTAGCTACTTTGGGATTCTTAATTGGCTGTGCTAGTCTTTCACCATATCATGATACATACATAATTATTTTTTGAACTCTTAGTTACGCTGTTGTTCATCACTGACGTTAGTGGGTGACTGTTGGGAGTTTTCATTCACAGTGTCTTTTTTGGGGGGTAGGGACACACCCAGAGTACTGAGGGCTTACTCCTGGCTCTGCTCAGCCATCACTCCTGGTAGAAATTGGGAAACAGGATCATATGTAATCCCTGGGGGGTTGAACCTGAGTCAGCCAGATACAAAAAAGCACCCTACCCACTGTCCTATTTCTCCGGCTCCTAAAAACTTCCTATAGCATATGCTATTTGCCTTAATCAGTTACTTCATTTAATTTATACAGATTAATTTCTTAACTATGTTGCTTATAAAGGAAGGAGTGGTCTTTGTAAATTGTAGAAATCAGGGTTTTTAAATGATTGGAATGATCAACTTAAATAAAGAAAAGATTATGATGTGAGAAAATTAGTACCTAGAGAAACAGTGGACTTGGTAATTGGGTAAAAAGGGTTGATATGAGCTGCATAAATAATAGCAAGTATTAGGAGAGAGAGCAGGAATTTTTAAAGTGATGTATTCAATATTACCATGGTGTAGGTAAAATAAATGTAACCATTTATTTTAAAGGTAAAGGCCCTCCCGTTGATCGTCGATTTGCTCGAGTGGGCCCAGTAACGTCCATTGGAGACTTTGTTGTTACTGTGTCTGGCATATCGAATGTATTTTATTTAAATTTTGTTAAAATTTCTCAGAGAAATATGAAACTAGTACTTTCATCACACCATGTATGTATCATGATATGATGAAAGACTAGCACAGCCAATTAGGAAATACGTATCCCAAAGTAGCTAAAGCTAAACCTGATCAAACATATAGCACTGTAGAGTTTATGAAAAACAATAAAAACAGTGACTACATCAAATGGCACCTATGGCAACTTTCAGACATTTTACTTTTCAGCCTATGATGCTAAATTTAAAATCAAAACGTAGTCATTTAAGGAGCAGTCCTCTACAGTCCACTGGACTTGGCTATCCCACAGTCCCATTCTCTTCCCCCTTTGATGAACGTAGTTATGCGCACAAAGATCAAAGGATTTTTGTTTATTTGACTTCTTGCCTTTCATTCTTTTTACCACATATGACTGTGTTCATCATCTTTATCTTTCTGACTCACTGTTCTTATGACCACTTCCAGATCTACCCATTGCAAATAGCGACATTTCTTTTCTTTTTTTAAATAGCTAAGTAGCATTCCATTGAATTTATATAGTGCATGTTCTTTATCCAGTCACCTATTGTTAAGCACTTGAATTTTATTCACAATTTGGCTATTATAAATAGAGTTATAATCAACATAATGTGTATGGATATTTTTATTGGTGTTTCTGTTTCTTTGGCTAGATATCTGTGAGTGGAACTACTGGATTATATAATAATATGGGTCTATTATTAATATTTTGAGAGAAATAAATAAGGATTCCTTTCTCTTTACACTGCCCCTCCCAAACACTTGATAGACTGTCTTGTGTCTGTGATTTTGTGATTTCCTTTACTATTAGTCTTTATGTTCTGAAGAAGATTGTTGTCTGCCATGATATGTATTCTATTAAATCAGAATTTTAAAAACAAAATTGATTTTATACTCTCTTACTGCTTTGTTTTGTTTTAAAAGACCCTCTTGAGGTTTGACTAATTTCCTTTCTTGGCTTGACTTCTCAAAAAAGCATTCTGTAGTTTTCTTCAAAAGTAGGAATGTAATCTGATCTGTGTTATTGTAGGCTTAGTTGAGAACACTTTTCATGAGCTACATTGATCCGTTTTCTTCCTTTCTAGTTATTCATTAGATTGTTAACTACAATCTTGTAAAGGCTAGAGTATCTAGAGCATCTCTCTGTAGTATTCCTATAAATGACAATTTTCCTAAGAAACACAGATATATCAAGATAGACAAGAATTAGAAAAACTGATTAGGAGAAATAGAAAATATTAAGCTTTTAAAGCCATACTGTGATTAGCAGATTCTCTCTATCCTTATACAGACTTGCTGCTTATAGACCTGAAAAAAAATTTCTTTTGTGTGATGGCAGGGATCACTCAACACTCCACACATATGTAGCCTATATGCTACCACTGAGCTAAATCCCACATATATCCATCTTATAAATCTTGTGATGGTCTTTTTTTTTTTTGTAAAAAAACTCAGGAGTAATAATATTATACTATTAAAAAGAACAGAACTGCTAGAAATATTGTTTATGTGGCATTTAATCTCAGAAGCAGTAAAATTTCATGAGAGTTTTAAAATTTGTTGTTTTACAACTATCTTTTTTTAAATGTACTTTCAAAGATAAAACCCTGTTATTAGAAACAACATGGGTTGCTCTAGAAGGTATTCTGCTTAGTGAAATAAGCCAAGTGGAGAAATACAGACATTGTATGATTTTACTCTCTAGTGGTATCTAGAGAACACAAACAGATGAACTGAATAATAGAAATAAAGTTTTGGATTATAAAATGACTTACTGGTTAGGGGAAAAGATAGGAAAAAGAGATGTAAATTAATGAGGGTAAAATGACAATTATATTGTAAAAGATAAAGTTAGACTTGTAATCATGAAATTAGTGAAATAATTATTTGTAGCTGTGAATACCTGAAAGTTTTATGATGTTAAAAAAAACTATAAAGATAGAAAGTATGTTTTATGAAAGCTGGGTTCCTGATTCTTTGTCTATATTCATGGTTTCTAATCTTATAAGTGCTTAATATCTGTTATGTAAGTGAATGAATGAATGATATGTATAGAACTTCTCAGGATTTCTGGTGCTACATGATTCCAAAGGCCATTTTTGAGACAGGAAAAAATGAAAAAAACAGTAATAACAAGAACTTATTCATTGTTTGCTTTTATTGAATACTTGTACTAATATAGAGATCTGTAATTTGTGTTGTTGACATTATCATATCATTACTTTTTATAAATTTTGGGGGAAATTCAAACTAAGGAAAGCTTTCTGAAAATCAATATTTTATTCACAGGTACTACTGAACGAGTATGCTTAATCCAGGGAACAGTTGAAGCACTGAATGCAGTTCATGGATTCATTGCAGAAAAAATTCGAGAAATGCCCCAAAATGTTGCCAAGACAGAGCCAGTCAGCATTCTACAACCCCAGACCACCGTTAATCCAGATCGCATCAAACAAGTGAGTGTTTAGTTGGAAAATCAAAGCAAAATAGCCCCAGTATAGTATGAATTATTAAAGAAATTCACAGACATATAATTTTTATGCATACTTAAAGCATAATAGAGTTGGAATTTATTTAAAGGCCACCAGGGTCTCCTTCTTAGACTGATCACTGATTTTCAAATTATTTATTGGTATTACACTGAGAAAAAATATGTGACTCTCATGATTAAAACAAAAACACAAAATTATAGGAACGTAATCTATTAATATTTTTTTAATTTTTAAAGAAATAAAAACTGAAATGAGATTATACTCATTGCTAATAGTTTTAGCAATATTTTCAGTTTTCAGGAGAGTTAAATGCATATAAATGTTTGTTAATATGTCATGTTCAACAAGTTTTATCAGCAAATATGTATAAGTAAAATTTTGTACCAGGCATCTAGTCCATTGTTACAAAGCAGCTATTATATTCTGTAAAATTTGTGTAGTGTTTTTATATATACATTATAACTTACATATATAAACATATGTCATGGAGGGCCTCTGTTCATTTTTAATGTATGAGATTCTTTGTAACAAAACCTTTATTTGCTGAACGATAATGTGAGTTTTTAAGATAACATATTGGCTGATATGATGTAGGAGAAATATGACATTCTTTAGTATTATATAAGGTGAATTTTTTCTGTAAACTTTTAAATACTCATATTTATTTGATAGTTTGTTTATATTTATTGTTTCTGCTTTTGCCCCTTTATAATTAGTTTCATAAATTTTATTATATTATTAATAGACTATGACTTTAAGAAAATGTGTTATTAATCACAAAATATTTAAGTCATAGAATATACTCATTTTAAATGTAGCTAAATATTAATTTCATGTTTCTGAATTGAAAATATATTTTATATAAACATGTTATAAATCTTAATTTTTCTAATACCTAGATATAAGGGTGACTAAATACAAGTACAGGAATTAATAATTAGACAATTTATTTTTAAACTTCATATGCTCAGTATTTATCAATTGCCTTTGAAAGGAATCTTTTATGTTTAAATCATGAGCAGGGAGCTATGAATCTATATAAAACTATTCATTATACTCATGTGTCAGTGATTTAATTTGTAAAATTCATAACTTTTCAAAGACATCTCTTAATTGACATATCTCAGAATAAATATTTTAAAGTTCAAATACTAGTAGCTTTTATAAAATTCTTTATAGTTTAGAAATGATTCTTATCTATGCTAAGAGAATACAAATAATGACTGATGATTTGAAAGTGGCAGTACCATATCTTTATCCAGATTCTAAAATGATGAGTTTTAAATATTAAAATCTCTGGGTTAAGTTTACTTGGGACTAAAGGAATAATAGAGTTGGCACTAAACTATTGAATATTGATTGTGCCTTAATTCAACCTATTCTCCCTTTGCCTTTGTAACAACTTTGAAGAAAGGTTTTAAAAATTAGGGGTAAAATATCTCCTTCATTTTTAGGAAGTGAAATATAAAAAGAAATTTGAGAGCAGTATTATATCATTAACAAGTTATTTAGGACAATAATATAAATGACTTTATAATTTGATAATAATAAATACCTAGTACTATTGAATAATTCTATTAATCATCATTAAAATTCAAACGTTTTCTATGACAAATTAGAATAGGTTACTCTATATTTCCAATGCCAATATATAGTTATAAAAACCAGAATTTTCAAATGTTTACTTGATTTATTTTTGCCTTGTTCAGATAATGTTATTTAAATCCATGCTGAGTGTCAAAAAATAAGTCATTTGATATACTTTTATGTATTTGTTTTCATTTGTAAGCTTTGTAGATATTCTTGGAATTAAAATTGTTGATTATTTAATATTTTGTGTAGTCAATAATATGAGAAATTATTTGAAAAAATTTATCGAGTACAATAACTCTAGTAAGCAGTGTATATAATGCTTAAACAATTTCTGTCAACGTAAAATTAAATATATTTGCAAGGAATTACAGTTTTCTTATGCTGTAGGTTTGAAAGTATGCCATAATCTAGGCATACTGTTTCTCAAATTTAATAAATTTTGTTGGGTTATATAATCTAGACTATACCAAACTATATAATTAAGTGACCATGATTTTATTTCTGGAGAAATTATCCTGGTTATACAGTATGAAAAGTTGCCTAAGATCAACAGTTTTTCAGTAGTATATATATTAGAACATATCACGATACATATATATCATCTTTTGATGCATTTAATGATATTTACTTTAAATTGATAATCTTTCTCTAATCTAGTGACATAACATTTACTTGGGGCTTTACTCTTGAAGTTTTTGTTGTAAATTTAATTGTCATTTCAAAATCTACTGATCCAGCAAATCAAATCAGCTTAAAACTTACACAGAAGAAATGAAGATACTGTGTATGTGAAGTGAAAACCAAAAATAAAATATGTAAAAAAGACCTTAGTTTAGAATTAAAGCAGTACGTTACTTTTAGCTTTGTTTTTGCAGAGAAAAAAACAAAGAGACCACAACTTGGCAAGAGATACATCAAAGAATTATGAAAGATTTGAAAACTTTAAAAAAAAATTCTTTCAAACATTTGTTTAAAAAATTTTCTTCAAGGGCTAAAGGGATAATATGGAGGTTAGGAAACTCGCCTTGCATGTTGAGTGACCAGGGTTTCATTCCCCAGCACCCCATATGATATCCTAAGTCTTGCCAGGAGTGATCCTGGAGAACAGAGCCAGTACTGAGCTGTAAGTACCACCAAGTGTGGCCCACAAACAAAAAAAAAAATTTAAAAATATTTCTTCAAGTTAATAATGTACAAAGAACAGAATTTGAGGTTTAAAAAACATTGGAAGCAAAATAAATTTTTTGTTGTATAAAAATCAAAGCATAACAATCACTTAATGTTTAATATGACAGTATAAATTATTAGTATTTTTTATATCTACTGTTTTATAGTAGATATTATTTTTTTTTAATTTTTAATAGTGAGACATCATGAGGTACAGTTACAGACTTACACATTTTTGTGCATGGGTTTCAATTATACAATGATCAAATGCCCATCCCTCCACCAGTGCCCATTTCCCACCACCACGGATCCCAGTATCCCTCCAGCCCCCCATCCCCCTTTAGTAGATAATTTTAAGAATTGGCTAAAAAAGGCTTAATTTGTATGTTTGTAACTTCAGCTTAAAGTAGGAAATTACAGATAGCTAAAGATGACTACCTTTAAATATAAAAGGCTACCTAAAATATAAAAGTCACTATTTTATTAATGATGTTATTTTAGTAAAATAGGATATTCTACATTATATCATCTAGATACAAGTGGCAACTGAATAATTTGTCCAGTGAAAGTTAGTTTTAATGCCTAAATGGATATTCTGAAGCAAAAGCAGTTTTGTAGGAAAGTAGCAAATACTGATTGGCAAATCTTTCTTAGAGAAGAATAATTAAGTATAGCATGGCAAACTTACATCTAATTTAAGATTATATATGTCACAAACTACTACATATTCTATCTGCTATTCACTTCCAAAATTGTTTTATATTTAAAACAAATTCTTGCTAATGTATTACAATATTATGTACAAAAGTTATAACTGTTTTGAATTTAATTTATTAAAAACTTAAAATATTATTACCTCTATTGTATAGCTATTCAATATCAGTAGACTATCATGCAGTGTATTTGCCTTTCTATAAGTCAGTGGCTAGAGAACATGAAACAGCAAAAGTCAGTAAACTAAAATTAAATATTAATTACAAAAACATTTATCATTTATCTGTAGTTCATAGAAATAGAAGTTATTGAGTAATCCTCAAATAATTTAGACCTTGCTTGCCCGAATACCCTGAATTTATATTTCCATGTTCAGCTTTTTTTATTTCAAGGTTTTTACTTTTTCACCCAAAAGATTGTTGAAATTTTTCTTTTCTTTATTTGGCCAAAAAAATCCCACTTCATGTTTGTTGCTTTAATGTATAGTTAATCACCAAATACAATAGAAACAAAAACGTCAGTAATATAGTTACATTTGTTAACTTCTCTGCTATAGGCTTTCAGCAGTTGTTTTTCTTTTTTGATTTAAATGTTCTTTTAAGAAAAGCTGCATTAAACAAAAAAGTGTGTTTATAGGCAATTAAATAATTGTCTTGTATTTTAAAAATCAAATTAAGGTATAAAATATTATTTTCCCAAAGAATTATTTTCATCTTGAAAAAGTGACAAAAATAGCATATTAATGTGTTCATTATCCATTCATCCAGTCATAATATATTAATGCTTTGCAAAACATATTAGTGAATTGCAAAATAAGTTCTAGTTTTTGCTCTTCACATCTAGTTTCTGAAGTCATTAATGCTTAAAAATATATAAGAGTGGAACATATATATGTTAGTATTTTACGTACCAAAGCTATATTATTAGCAATAAAGGTTTAGAGTAGGGTTAAAGAAATGTAGGCTATTTGTAAAAATAGATTAAAAACTTGAACTGAACCTTTGAATATTACAGAGAAATGACCTAATTAGAGAAGAAAGAAAAATCTTAGGCAGGTAAAGTATATTTGAGGAGAAATATATCGTAAGTGTTAAACAATAAAAATACTTTGATAGATGAGACTATTGTGTTGAAATGTAAAAAGATATAATGGAAGGAATGAAAGAAGGAAATATTAGACAGTTAGCCAACAGGATAAATTCTTCCTAATATTTTTTCAGAAGAGTTCTTATTCCTCCTAAAGGTTATAAATGTAAACCTCTTTATTTTGTTCAGTTCTGTGCTAAAATACGAACTGATGAATTTTAGCTGTTTAGAGAAAAATAATAATTTTTAAGTGATTTATTATACAGAGCTTTAGATTTTTAGATTTGTAAGATAATATTTTCTAATGCTTCATTTATATAATAAAATTCAAGGAATTCAGTAAGAAATACCTTAAACTTATAGAATTGCTCTCCTAGAGCCATCTCAATCTCAGACTATTCTAT